GCAGATCGCAAAAGCAGTCTACTATGGCTATCCCAAGCGAAGAGGAACTAGTCATCAATAATGACATTGATAACACTCCTAAAAGGATAAGCTGGAATCCAAATATATTAAAAAAATTGTCAGTTTCTATTACAAAACTACAAGACACACGTTTACATAGTTCAGAAAGACAGTCAGGTTTAAATAGAGTGTCAGAGTTTGAAGCATTAGGCAATCAAACTTCTTCAAAGAAACCTACTAGAAAGTCGCGCAGAATCCAGAAGTTACTGAGTTCTTCTACAGAGAACGAGGTAACAGTGGAGCGACATGAGGATACGACGACTATGCAAAACAGGCAGAGCGATTCTGAGGCAGAAATTCACACTCCTTCAAAGAGGCAAAGGAAGAAGTTAAGTAAATCACAAAAACAGTCAGCATTAGGTATTGCAGGAGAGGTAGAAGCAGAGCAATCCAAGGATACGACGAACATGCAGAGTAGGAAGAGTGGTTTGGAACCAGACATTCAAACTCCTTCGAAGAGGCAAAGCAAGAGATTCAGTAGATCACAAAAACAGTCAGCGTTAGATATTGCAGAAGAGGTAGAAGCAGAGCAATCCAAGGATACGACAATGCAAAGCAGGGAGAGTGATTCCGAGACAGAAGTTGAAACTCCTTCAAAGAGACAAAGCAAGAGATTCAGTAGATCACACAAACTATCAGCATTAGATATTGCAACAGAGGATGTATCAGAGCAAGATAGAGATACTGCGAGCGAGCTTAGGAAAGAATCAACTGTAGTGGATGCAGGCGAATCAAATAAAAACAAATCGCAGGATAATGCTAATGTTAGGTATAAAACGTTAAATAATTTAAGTAAGACACTGAAACAAGTTAACACGACGGCCAAATCGACGAAGCGACTCACTTTTAATTTAAATAATCCTAACGATAAAGAGGATGCGAGTGCCTCAAACGCAACTATGAACATTGAACGTAACAGTACTCAGCCTTGTAACATAGGGCTTACAAATGTGTTACAAAATACTAATAAAGATGCGCAAACAGTTGGTAGGAGATCTATTGGAAATGTTTCGCGTAGCTCTCGTCCAAATGTTTCAGAGAATCGTAAAACCCCGAATAAAGCCACAGGTTCGGTAGCACCTTCGAAAATGCTCATCAACCGAATTCCTACATCTTCGACCAGCCAAAGGAACATCAAGGACTTTTTCCAAGTAGAGAAATCTCTACCAGCGTCTCAAGTTTTCGCTGATAAACAGAAGCTGGAAGAAGTGAAGATGAAGATGGAGATACTGAAGGAACGCGTACTGGCTGCAATGAAACCAATCCAGAAGAATCCTGAACCAAGAGTTCTGTCTCAAAGATTAAAGCCGAACAATGTTGCCAAAGCGAAGAAATCAACGCAAACGAAGGAGATCAACAAAGCTTTTTTGGTGAACGGAAAAGTATACAAAGTTCCACGTCTCGCTCGTCCAAAACCGTGGATCACGAATCGCCTTTACAAATTTTTATGGAAAAAAATGAATTCGAAGTACGGCCCAAACACGCGAGTGGTTTCTGAGAAATTCGTTCGTCAATTGTCGGAGATAACAACGTTGATCGAAAAACGTAAACTATACTCGAAGTATGAGTCCGAGTTGTTAGCATTGATGAAGGAAATGGCGCGGTTAAATATCATCGAGACCAGGCTCGACTTTTACCACTTTTGCCAAGATTTTTTACCGTATGAGCTTCGCTTCAAAATGGTTCCGATGTTATTGCCAGGAAACAAGAGAAATATTCCTTACGATCCCGACAAAGTGTATGAACCACTCCTTCGGGATTAGAATAATAATAATAATATAGATGGTATAAAATTGTATAGGTTAAATATTTATATTATTGCCGGTTACAACAGTAATAAATTATTTTTGTACTTTTACAGTTGATAAAAACGAAATGTGATTAAATGTAGTTCATATAGCAACTTGCGAATTGCTATAATATTTGCAAATAATTGCACAGATAGAACTTAGAAGTATTTATGTAATATAAGGCATTAAAATTTTGTATACTGTTGTTATTATAGTGTATGTTTCAATATTCGCTACGAAAGTATTGTAATTTGTTCTTTAACAAGTATCGAGATCACAATTTTGTAATTTTCTAGTTTAACTAGTACTACAAATTTGAGCGTTCTGCCACCGATGGCAACACTAGTACTAAAAACAGTGAAATATAAAATGTTTTTGAAAATAATACATTGGCATAATCACGGACGCACTGACTATTTTATGACATTCTACATTTATGATTTCATTTTACTTTAAGTTAATCGTAAGGAGAATGAGATATTAGGAATATTATAAGTGTCAAATATACAAGACTACGAAAAATCAGTTCGCCCTGACACAACTAGATGACGATACTATTACCATTCCTGAAGTCCACTTAATTTCCTTAAAATCTTCTGCACACTATCCATCATTTCTCGGTACATTTCCATTTACTCTTCATTCATTTCCTGGTACATTTGAAATTATTTTCCTTACATTCTGTGGAACACTACATTTCATCTCCTAGTACATTTCCTTTTAATTTCCCTTTACTTCCTGGTACATTTCCCTATAATTTCCCCTCATTTCTGTGCTATTTCCCTATAATTTCGCCTCATATCCGTGATATTTCCTGCTTTAACAATGTTGCAACAGCTCCGCTCAAAACTTCAACAATGCTACAAATGGCCTCGCTCAAAATTGTGATGGGAAATTTCAAATTTTTACTCCTGGTATCAGGAGAAAATGATATGCAAAGAGGTGGCACGAGGATCACATGGTACGTATCAAATGTTGTCCAAATTTTACTCCTGGTATCAGAAGAACATGATATGCGAGAAGATGGCACGAGAAAATTAAGGTACGTATCGAAGTTCTGACAAAACTTTACTCCTGGTATCAGGACAACATGATATGCGAGAAGGTAGTACGAAAAATTCAAGGTACGTATCGAAATTCTAAGGAAATTTTAAATTTTGGTATCAGAAGAACATGATATGCGAGAAGGTGGCACGAAAAATTCGAGGTACGTATCGAAGTTCTGGCCAAATTTTACTCCTGGTATCAGGACAACATGATATGCGAGAAGGTAGCACGAGAAATTCAAGGTATGTATCGAAAATCTAAGGAAATTTTACATTTCGGTATCAGGAGCACATGATATGCGAGGAGGTAGCACGTTTGCGCCTACGGACAGGCAACCGGTCCGACATGTGTGTCAGTACAGGTTGCCTACTTCAAGGGGCTAA